TTTGGGAGGCATACTGCAGGCCGCACACAAGTCAGGTGAAGGGGTGCTAAGTGCAGCATGAACTCAGAAAGGCTGGGGAATGAGAGTGAGGGGTGCGTGTGTGTGCTCGTGCGTGTGAGTGCAGAGAGGCCAAGGAAAGAGGGTGCAGGGTATGTGTCTGCGTGTGTACAATCGCAGAGAAGCCAAGGAAAGAGGACATGGGGTATGTGTGAGTGAAGGAGGGAAGGAAGGCACAAGCGAAGAAAGACTGGCAGAGGGGGAGACTTACCGCAGTGATTTGCAACATTCCTTGCCAGCTTCCCATTGACTTTGTTTGGGGGAAGATGGCAGGAAAGGTGGCAAATGGTGATCACATGACCATGGGACGTTGCAACTGGTTGTAACTGCAAGCTGATTGCCAGGCACCCAAATTTTGTTCGTGTGACCGCAGGGGCACTGCAATGACTAGAACTTCGAGGACCGGTCATAAGTCCCTTCGTTTAACACCATCATAACTTCGAATGGTCACTGAACGAATGGTCATAACTCGAGGACTACCTGTAATGGTAAACATTCAATAAACATGAACAAATAATACAAAACATACAGTATTAATAGTACTATAACTTTACATAATTTCAATAAGCCTACTCCATGAAGCATAATTTGGAAAATATATCACAAATTATGACCATATCTTTACGAATAATTAGTGCTCTCTTTTTTCTGTTATAGCCATTTTGTTACCTACAAGTTCAGTCAGTGAGTTAACTGATTAAATGTATGGTATAATGCCATTCTATTATGATTATTCTCTTTGATACTGAAGGATGTATGGAAATAAATAGATATGCCAAACTATAAAATGTTCTATTAAAATGTACCATAAGGATTTTTTAGAGGAAATGTATGGTCATCCTATCCGTAAACAGAACTGTATCCAGATTAAAAATTCTAAACCTATATATTACATCTGAGCAATTGTTATTCATTCCAATGATTAATTTGGAATTAATTCTCTCTCCTTTCTTCACTCTCTACACACACAGAAGACAGTATATTGATAATATTCTCACATTTATGGTCAGATTTTAACTTCCATAAGCAGTAAATCAGGTTTTCCCACTTAATTTTAGGGCTACATTTCTAATAACATTTAATTAGAAATGTAAAAGGGGTTTACTTTTATCTATATGTACCAATATGTATCTATTACATCTTCAAATACATATGTGCTGTTTTAAAGCTGAAGAGAGCTTTTTAGAAATAATTTTATTAGCTCTTTTAATCCTGTATTTACCCAGCTATATTATATACAGAATGTTTTCTTCAGATAAAACAGAACCTGTATAACTAACTTGTAGGCCACCCTCTTGAACAAATGATTTTGAAAACAATCACTAGCCTTCATATATGTATTTTGTTCTTATCTATTTTCTGTTGCGAAGGGAGTCTGCATATAGCAATGAGTCCACAGCAGCTATGCTGTTACATAACTTATTGATAAAACTGGATGAACATTTAGAGCGTGTTTCTCAAGAGAAGAATCTCCTCTTGATACACAACCTAAAGAAAATCAGGAAAGTTCTTCAGGTGAGTTTAATAAAGAATTGTGAAGAAATCTCTTTCACTAACTCTGAAGTCCGTTTTGTTATACCGTATAAGGTTTTGTGTAAGGATATCTGTGCCAACCACAGCATAGGAATGATCTTTTTTGCTTCCTAGCGTTTTCCCACAGGTGCAGGGTCTGCTATTTTCGGATCAACCGAATGTTGATCCATTGGTTGCAACCAGAATTAACTGACCGGCTTGTCGCCCGAGCCTGACATTGTACAACATTGGAATGAAAGGATGCCTTAATTTTAAACATTTGATCCCACTGAATTTTAGGCTATTATTTTTCAGCATAAACTTGTGTAATCAAACATGGGTGTAAAGAGAAACCAAGTTACACAGGCATCCTTTTTTTGGTGGGCGGGAGAAAATGACACCAACCGCCTCATAATGCTATGTATGCAATACGGGTAATGTCGTGATGTGTGTGACATAATCATAGCTTCTACTGAATGGCTATGGGTAAAGCGGCGTTTAATAATAAGGCGACCTGCGTGTTCCAGTTTCAGAATAGGACTTTACTGAGGGAGACTTACATTCTGAAATGTAAAGCAAGCTACAAACGTGCAGAATTTCTGAAACAAACTATGCATCCGTTATTAACAGAGTATATCCATATCCATAATATAAACACTGTAATGTGATGTATTGGAGTGTGAAATTGGAATGAATGCTATACAATGAGTGTCAGTGACCAAGACAAAAACTGATTAAAAGGAAGTAATAAATGCTGTTACAATGTTGCCAAATGGTAAGTCTGCAGATGTAGTTGTAGGGTAGCTGCAGAAATGTTATAATATGGATGTGGGTTTTGTTTGTTTTTAGATTTTTTATCCCGCCTTTATTATCTTTATAAATAATTCAAGGTAGCGAACATACCAATACTCCTTCTTCCTCCTATTTTCCCCGCAACCACAGCCCTGTGAGGTGAGTTGGGCCGAGAGAGACTGGCCCAAAGTCACCCAGCCGGCTTTCAGGCCTAAGGCGGGACTAGAACTCACCGTCTCCTGGTTTCTGGCCTGGAGCCTTAACCACTAGGCCAGACTGGCTCTTTGTGTGAATGTGTGTGGAGACTAACTTTGCCTAGCAATTGGAAAAATGCCATTATTGTTCCCTTACTCAAAGGTTGCAGAAGACTTCAGAAAGATTGCAGAAACAAACACAGAAAATTACAGGGGGAGTTTTGTTTCTTAACTGAGCCTGGGAAGGTGTTTGGCAGAATTCTGACTGACAGGGTGTGAAATGACAACAAGCAAAATTTGGGAACAGCAGTATGGCTTTCTGCCTGGCAAGGGTTACAGAGATAACTCTAGTTATATATTGAGTAATGTGTGCATTTACCATGATGTGCAAAATCAGATTCTCTCTGGTCCGTCTGAAACTTTTTCAGCGTTACATTTCTTCTCTGTAACTTGGAGGCCAAAACTAAAAGCCATAATCCTTAATCTTAAATACATGAGGACAATTCATGCTCTTCTGCTGGGGATCAATAGCTGCTAGCTTTGATGGCAGCAGGACTGCCTCTGAAGGCCATCTGCTGGAAGACTAGTGGGCTTCCTTGTACAGTTGGTTGGCCACTGTGAGAACAGACTGATGGACTAGATGGGCCAAGCATCTGATCCAGCAGGGCACCACCTATGTTCTTACGTTAAAGAAGATATTCTGTGCCTGTCAGAGACCTTTCTATTAATTAGTTTCTGATTGGGAGAATTGGTGGAGAGGAAGATTAGGATAAGAGAGGATAAGAGAAAACATATACAGGTGAAACTCAAAAAATTAGAATATCGTGCAAATGTTCATTTATGTCATCACAATTATACCAAAGTAAGGCTTGACATATCTCGCTTTGCATGTAATGCGTCTAT